ATCAGCATCTACACAGTGCTTATTTCGATTTAGCTATTTCAAAATTTGGCGTTATTCCTCATGGAATGAGGTTTACCAAATTTGAAATAAGCGCTCAGTTATTTCAATTTAATTTTGAAATATCGGTTTGGCTGTGTAGATGCTAGGAAAGTTATTTCGAAATAACTTTTCTGTGTAGACATACCTTAAGAGAAGAGTCTGGAGTTGCATCAATAATAATCGAAAACTACTTTGCAAGTCATATCTCTTCAAGAATTGTTGTTTGCACAAAGGTCCTACATAGCTCGGTAAGCTTGTTTTATATTTTAGTAGACAGATAATGGACTCTTGTGATTAGTGAACATGCTTAACATTGCCTGATAAAAGTGGGTCATACTTGATAAGAAGCTCAAGTATACCAAGAAAGTTTCCTTTTATATGGTCACCGATATGTTGACTGGAACCAGGCAAAGCCAATCTCCGTTCAGAAAGAAAAAGAATGACATTAAATATGGACCACTTGGCTGGCCTGTATGCACAGCCCCGCACAGCTGCCAGCTGGGAGGTCCATCAGGGGGCTGTCCGTAGCTGGGAGGCCCTGCGAGAGACCTTCCACCCGGAGGAGGACTAAAATCTCCATGGTGTGTCCCACTGGGGGCTTGTGCCTCATTTCACCCACACATCCCTTCACTGACCGCGCCCTAACCCCCCTTCCCATTAAAGAAAGACCTATGTGTTGGCAAAAACTGGGGTGGGGAGGGAATGAGGGTGGGAGAGGGGAGACGAGAGGGAAGGGGTAAATCTGGGAGGAGAAAGCTGGAAGGGGGAGGTGAGAGGAGGAAGGGGCGGAGAAGCTCAGGGTTGGGGATCTTGCTGGTCCACCTGTCTCCCAGCACTGCGGGTGCGGGGGCCTTGGCATCCCTGGGGAGGTGGGGACGGTAGGGAGGAAGAAGCAGGAGTGGGAGGAGGAACAGTAGTTGGGGAGGCAGCAGGGGCTGGAACAGCAGGAGCTAGGGTGGCTGCTGGGGCTGGAGTGGCAGGAGGCAGCAATCTCTGCACCAGGGTCTGCAGGTGGTCGGAGATGGCACGGCCCTGGGCAAGCAGCTCCCACTAGCTCTCCCGCTGGAGCTGCAGGTCTTCGTGCACCGAGTAGTCCCGG